ATGTTTTGACAGACCGTTGACCCATGCCTTATCATCTTCACCAGATCGCTACTCACCACGAGAAACCCGTCACCTGGATTATGTCTCCCAATTCACGAATGACATTCGCCATATCCAGGGGTCCAACAATCCAGTAGCCGATTCTTTATCCCGCATGGACATCAACGCTATCCACTGCAGTACCTCAATTGACTTCAACCTCCTCGCAAAAGCCCAACAAGAAGATCCAGAGCTACCATCCTTGCACACTACGTCATCTCTTTGTCTCAAAGATGTCCCATTACCATTTTCCTCTGGTAAAATACTCTGCGACACTTCCACCACTACACCAAGACCATACGTCCCACCATCCCACCGCCGACTTGTCTTCGACAACCTCCATTCTTTGTCGCACCCAGGAATCCGTGCCACACAACATCTGGTCACCGAACGTTTTGTCTGGCCCGGCATCAACAAGGACATTCGTGAGGGGACCCGTTCCTGTCAAAAGTGCCAACAAGCAAAAATTCATCGCCATACCACCTCTCCACTTGGAACTTTTCTCACACCTGATGCACGCTTTGACCACCTCCACATCGACATCGTTGGCCCACTTCCACCGTCAAAGATACAGATATCTGCTCACCATCATTGATCGCTTCACTCGCTGGCCACAAGTCATTCCACTCAGCGATATAACCGCCGAATCAATTGCTTGTGCCTTCATCTCCAATTGGATTTATTCCTTTGGTGTTCCATCTACCATCACAACGGACCGTGGTGCCCAATTCGAATCTTCGCTCTTCACCCAAATCACATCGCTCCTGGGAATCAAACGCATTCGCACCACGGTCTACCATCCCTGTGCAAATGGCATGATCGAACGTTTCCATCGCCAGCTCAAATCTTCCATCAAAGCCTATCCTGACTCTTCCCGGTGGACAGAAATCCTCCCATTCGTTCTACTCAGCATTCGCAATACCGTCAAAGCAGACATCGATTGCACCCCCTCGCAACTCGTTTTTGGCACATCTCTCCGTTTACCAGGACAGTTAATCACTCCAGACACCTCCTCGCCTGCCTTTGACCCAACAAGCTATGCCGACCGTCTTCAATCCGCCATGCAATCACTCAAACCAACCTCACCACGTCCTCAAATCACCAAGTCGTACCTTCCTCAAGCTCTACATAACTGCACCCATGTCTTCATCCGTACCGATGCTGTCCGCAAACCACTCGAGCCTCCGTACACTGGACCATTCAAAATCCTGCGTCGCCACACAAAACACTTCACCATTCTCATGCATGGAAAAGAGCAAACTATCAGCATCGACCGTCTCAAACCAGCATACCTGGACATCGACCTACTTCCCTCACCTGCAGTTCCAACAGCACCAACATCATCCTCTATTCTACCTGTTCCAGCTACCACTCCAGGCCGAACAACTCGCTCCGGTAGAAGAGTCCATTTTCCGGACAGACTTTAATATTGACTCGCTACTGGTTACAATTCGAACAATACAAGTCGAACATTTGAACATTTTCGCAATTTTTATATTAATTCAATTTTTATCGAATGCTTCTCCTCGCTTGCATTCTAGGGGGAGCTATGTAGCGACCATTGTTAAACGTTTTCATGTTTCCCATTGTAATCATGTCATTGACACTTTCCATTGTCTTCTTAATGACAGTAACGTAATCAACAACACCTTTGTAGCGTCCACTCGTTTTATGTGTATACGCCCTGTATTGTAGTTAGTTAGTTTTCATCTCGCTGGAGAAAAGACGTAACAGAAAAACCAAGCTGATTTGTTTTCTTCGAGTCGATGGCCTAAGGCACGGTAAACAAAGATTGGTGAGATCGTTCATTACAACCCTTTTATTAATAGTTCGAATTTCATGCACAGCCACAATACGATTAATTTTGGATCAGTTATTGATTTAGGATCTGATTCATGATCGAATGAAGCCCCTTTCCTCAATAAAATGATTTCTTTCATATCCTTTTCTTTAACCTTGAGTGTTCCAGCCTACCCAAATCCCTTTGATTTTCTTCAACCTTCTCCCTAAAGCCTTGGCCAAACTGGGCAACATTGTCGGGCAACATTCTCAAATTCCTAATGTTGCTCAAATGTTGTCCAGTTTGGCCACCGTGTCGGCCGACAAATTCATCAAGAAATTTGTTGCTCGAATGTTTGAACATGCTCAAACATTTTTCTGCAACATTTGTTGCTCAGCTCTATGTTGTCCAGTTTGGCCACATTGTCGGGCAACAATTCACCTTAATTTCCCATCTGAAAAACCAACTTGCACAGTGATGTATTGCAAAAGAGTATGCTCTACTCGATTCAAATAAAATGGCCTGTCAAAATTTAAGCTTTCAAGTTGATTGTACCGAATGGGAAGAAAACCATGGAGTAGAAGAATAGTTTAGGAAGAATAAAAAGTCTCGTCTCAAACAAGTCCAAATGCAAGCTCTTTGAAAAAACAAATCAGCCAAATGCTACCAGCGTGCTCGACCATAGAGTGCTAAGCAACAAAGGTGTTGTGATGTCAAAACAGCTTCCAGTAGCTGCAGCTTGCTTTCTATCTGCCATCATTATCCAAATTTTGGCTCAAATCAAATATGGCGCGGAAAATCACATATCAGATCATATTTGGCACGCTGTTTTGACAACATCATCAAAAGATGCTGCACGACAATGTTGCCCAGTTTGGCCACCATGTTTCGGCGACGAAAAAATTAACAAAATTTCGAGCAACTTTGTCGGGCAACAATGTTGCCCAGTTTGGCCAAGGCTTAAAGAGTTTCTTGCCTTCCAGCATATGCACAACAGAGCCTCTCCAAACCCTAGGAAACAATACCTTTCTTTTCAGTTTAATTTATGTACATATAGAAGCACCGGGAAAAACCCCAGTGCTAAGCTATTATTAAAATTTGATGCTTTTTGCCATTTTTTCGCCGTTGGTTGGTATTTTTTGTAGATGTATTAATTTACTTGCCCTGTGACCCCAGCCCCCCCCCCCCACACTTTTCTCGACGCTCTGCTGTGCCTGAAAATGTGTTTGGATTGACCCGGTGTCGTTTTACTTGAATGAAAACGAAGTGGAGAAATCCGGGGTGATATGAATCGGGGTCATCCATAAAGTACGTACGCACTTAGAGGGAGGGGGGAGTCGACCAAAAGTCGTACGCTTGCATACAAGGGGGGAGGGGGTGTAATTGGTATTTAGTAAGTACGCTTAAGAAATTCCTAAACGGGAAATTTGAGCCTGGAAAGCTTGCTCATTCATTGTTCATATGGCAGAGATCTTAATGGGAAGTTTGTTGCATATTTTCATCCTTCCTAGAATCTGCTCTGTTTGATGAACTTCCGATAAAAACTACGTAAAAGGCTTTGCCTGTTAAAAAGCTACGTACAATCGGCTCAATGTTTAAGAATCTACTTCGATACGCTTCACGTGATTACATAAATAAGACAACTGCATTAACATATATTATAGCAAGGAATGGTCAATATGGACAAATCCCTGAATTTCCCACTCAATTAATTCCAATATACCTTGGAATGGCGGAAGGGGGGGAGATATACGCAGTGTACGCAAAAATGGGGGTATACGAAAAGCGTACATGTGCGTACAAAGGGGGAAGGGGGGTCAAAAAGTTGCTCTCAAACTGCGTAGGTACTTTATGGATGATCCCGTCCAGTATCGTATAACTGAGGCCTGAAATCCGCTACGCCACTGAACCACTTCTTGCTTGATGGTCCAGTTATTCACAATTGTAACAAAACCCCCCTGAAAGTTATAACAATTGAATGTAATATTTGTCTAAAGAAAGAGCTCAGGTGTACAACGTTTTCCTGGTTTTGCCTGGTTTTGAAATCCCACGACGTTAAAAACGTACTTATAATTTTGATTTTTTTTCGACAACAGGGTCTGGTAAAATGGTTGGAAAACGCATTTGCTTAATCGGTGCAGGCCCGAGTGGAATGTCAGTTCTGTACCATGCTGAAAAACTGCGAAAAGAAGGCAGAGATGTGCCAGAAATTGTTTGCTTCGAAAAACAGTCAAACTGGGGCGGACTTTGGAATTATACCTGGAGAACGGGTAAAGCTTTCTTCTTTTTTAAATTACATCTTTAATGTTTTAAGATTTGTATTATTCGATGTTTTAAAATTTGCATGTTTCTTTTGTTTCAACCCCTCTGCATAGTCAAGTGTTTTGTTTAGTAATCCAAAATTCCTGCGATTTCGTAAGCCTACCGAGGAGAAAAAGCTCTCGGGAAATAATTGATACTTTCTAATAAATTTTGAGTGATTGCAAAAAAGGAGAAACAGTAAGCAGAGGGAGGAAGCAGAAGTTGAATTGCAGCTTGAGTCGGAAAAGGCATCTGCTTTTTCGAGGGCAAGGATTGGGAAGGTGAATGTCAAATGATGACAAGATCAAAGAGTATTTGTTGAGCGTTACCCGAAGGTTAAAGATGTTGAATACGTTGATGAGGACTCTTCTAAGAAGCATTGAGATTCAGAACAAGGGTCCGGAGCAAAAGTGCATCGGATTTTCCCGTTTAAACGGAATGTATCGGATCACTTTTCAAATCACCTTCACAGCGGAGTGATTTCACTCCGCAAAAGTGGTATCAGACAAATCGGATTGATGCGGGCCGTGTAAACGCAACCCCTATCCGATATGAAAAGTAATCCGATATGTGATTAATCCGGTATCGTGTAAACGCAGCCTGAAGCAACATGACGGGACCTTGGGGAGATCAGGTGAAAGTTGACAAATCCAGTATAGAGCGGCAAAAGAGTCAAAAATATTTTGTCAGGGCAGTAGCATCCCAGAGGTCTGCCACACCAGCTGCCGCTTTGAGCTGTCGGGGGCGCCTCGTTTTCATCTCGTTGTCTTCTATTACATCCTGATTGCTACTCAATGACGTCATGACGCCCTTGCGTTTCTACGTGTTGTTTTCAGAGCCACGCTTTAATTACCTTTACTATATAATTTATATTTATCAGGTCTTGACGAATATGGTGAACCAGTTCACAGTAGCATGTACCGTCATCTATGGTCAAATGGGCCTAAGGAAGCGCTTGAATTGCCCGACTACACATTCGAGGATCACTATGGCAAACCAATCGCGTCCTTTCCATCAAGGGAAGTCCTTTTTGACTACCTAAAAGGTGCGTGTTTATACTTCCGTTATCAATAGCAGGCCTGGCCATAAGACGTTTAGAAGGGGAACAGTAACTTCCAGGTGAGCTATTTGAAGATTAATAAGAATAAAAACAAAGAAAAAATTGATTTCAAGGAAAGCTATTTTCTTTCTAGAGCAGTTTAGGAGGGCAATCTGTAGCTCTCCTCCAGCACTTGAGGAGACTCGTGTATATCTCTAACCCTCTCTTCCTTTTCTCACTGCAGACATTGCTGGTTTATAAACTTGTGTCGTTGATGAATTTTGATACACAAAAAGCATATTTTTAGATGGTTTGTTTAAATACCGACCACGTCAACCTCGTGCCTCTAAGTGGAACATCAAAGTTAATATTATAAAAGGAAACACAGTTTATAATTTAAAAAATCGTTCACTTTCACTGCAGGTCGCTGGAAGAAAGAGGAAAGTCTCCGTAAATGCATACTGTTCAACCATGTTGTCCGCAACGTTGACTACAATGACTCTACAGACAACTTCACAGTCGTTGCAAAGAACTTAAAAGAGGACAAACTTTTGCCTCCGGAAGTCTATGATTACGTCGTTGTTGCCTCAGGTCATTTCTCCACCCCAAATGTGCCATCTTTTCCAGGGATAGAAACCTTCCCTGGAAATGTGTTGCACGCACACGATTTCAGAGATGCCGAAGCATATAGAAGCAAACGATTGCTTATGATTGGCTCGTCATATTCTGCAGAAGACATTGCCTTGCAATGTGCTAAATATGGTGCTTCGTCAATTGTGTGCACGTGGCGAACAAAGCCAATGGGATTCAAATGGCCTTCTACAATCACAGAAAGAGCTCTTTTGACAAGAATTGAAGGTAAGTGGTGTTTTAGTGCTTGACTGTTTGCAAAGCCTCGTTAACATGGTTATTCCAGTGACCTTTGTACGATATAATAACGTATTGACCACAGCAAGTTTTGCCCACGGCAAAAATTGCCCAAAACAGTTTAATTCAGTGAAGTTCTGTCTTTTGTAATTTAAACCATTACAGTTTTATCCACTGCAGTTTTGCTCACTGCAGTTTTTGTCTTCTGCAAATCCTAGGAGAGTTTTACCCACTGCAGTTTTGTCCTTTGCCGTTAAATCTACTGCAGTTTTTGTCCGCTGCAGTTTTGTCCACTGCAGATTTTTGTCCACTGCAGCTTTTTGTCCTCTGAAATTTTGTCCCCTGCAATGTTGTCTACTGCAGCTTTGCCCCCTGCAGCTTTGTCCGCTGTAGTTTTGTCCACCGCAGTTTATGCCACTTGGAAAGATAACTCCACCTTTCCTTTTAGGCTCTACCTGTTATTTTAACGATGGCAGTCGATTTGAACCCGATGTTATCATGTTTTGCACTGGATATTTGATCAGCTATCCTTTTCTTGCGGAAAATCTTAGACTGCGTGGAAGAAACATACTTTTTCCAGAGACTCTATATAAGAACACGCTTTGGACTGAAGGAGGAAACAAAAAGTTGTTTTACATTGGTGCTCAAGATCAATATTACACTTTCTCCATGTTTGATGCACAAGCTTTGTGGGCTGTCAAGTTTATTCTTGGAGATATACAAGCACCAGATTGTGAGGAAATGAGAGCTGTCTTGAAACATTGGATTGAAAAGTAAGTTTCTTCAAGCAAGGCATTTAACCTCGCTTTCTTGGCCGTTTCTTATCCAATTCAATACAACGTAGAGTAAAAACGATTTCAAACGTGAACTTGACAACCCTTAACGTTTCCAAGACAAGCTGAGCGTTTCAAAGCTCGTTTGCTTTTTAACCCCATGCTTCTTTACAGTTTAAAATAATCCCTTTTTATAGTCCAGATTACTGTAGCCTCCGAGAAAACAATGTAAACGATCGAGTTAAGGAAGTTCTATAGAGAGAATGCAAAAAAGCACGAGTTAACGAAAGTTCGACTTATCGAGGGTTCAAGCTATCGCGATTATACTGTACTAAACTCATTTTTTTAGGAACCAAAGCTTGAGAGACTGTCACGATGAGATAAATTTTCAAACAGAAATTCTGGTCGACCTTGCGAAAGAGAGTGGTTACGGCTATGATTTGGACTGCAGCGACATGTTTCACGAATGGGAGCACCACAAACATGAGGACATTCTCACGTACAGAGACAAAAGTTTCGCAAGCAAATTCACTGGTACCCAGTCTCCTCTGCATCACTGCACATTCATGAAGGCCTTTGATGATTCGGTTGAGGCGTACCTCAAGAATATCTGAAGTGTCAAGAGTATGTTGGAGTGGTCATTGACATCTGATAGATTTGTTATAGTTTGCAGGAAAACATCTTGATTGTTAACTTTGATTCTTGCTTTATTTTAATGAAATTGAAATATGGCTTATGGAGAAAGTCATTAAAGCTATTTTCAACATTTGGTTTTTTTCTTGTTCTGGGGAATGTGAGAATTAGACTGAATTGATTATTTGTTTTGCTACATCGAAAGTGGAGGGCATTTCATTTTTGAACTAACCATGAGTGAGACAGTATACAAAATTGATTAAAAAATGATGATACTTATGAATAAAAACAACCAGTAGAGCGCGTAGCAAGCTCAGGGCCAAGAGTAACTAGCTTTTGCGACAAATGGCATAACTTTGCAAGCACTGAGCGTCTGTACATCGTAACAAGAGCAGATATCTAGCAGGCCTTGGCATAATGCCATATGGTTTTTACTGTTGTGCAATAGATTTGCTAAGTGTCACGTCACAGAAATGAACTTTTTCATGAGTTATTGGTCATAAAGTCTCACGAAGAACAACATGAATTAATTGAAAATGTGTAACTCTCAATTGAAGCTCAAGTACGCCGAAAAACCACCGTTATGCAAAGACTGTTCTCCTTCTCTATCAAGATACTGCTAGTGGCACTAGAGAAAGTAGTTATACAGATAGTACATTCGTCGTGAGCTGATAAAGCCTATTATATAATTCGCGTTCTATCTGTTTAACTGTTTGATAAAGTAATCTACCAAACGCAGATAGCAGTACAATAATATTTCCGGCCTTCCAGGTGCGTGGCCTCAAAAATTTTCGGACACACCCATTTCAGCCCCTCCACTTTTTGGCTGGTGCGCAGTCCCTGATCTGAACATAGTTCCTTCTTTGATCATGAGCGCGGATAAGAAAGCTTTTAAATGGACCTGGACCAAAGGCTGGCGATTTGTATAAATAGATTTAATACAGATGATGGAAAGGACAATGAGATCTTAATCAAATGACATAACTGAAACTTCGGAGAAGAGGAAATTGATGTTTGAAGTTTCAATTGAATTTGAAATCAGGGACTTGTGATTGAATCTTGATTTTGGATCAGTTATTGATTTTGGATCTGATTCATGATCGAATGAAGCCCCTTTCCTCAATAAAATGATTTCTTTCATATCCTTTTCTTTTACCTTGAGTGTTCCAGGCAACCCAAATCCCTTTGATTTTCTTCAACCTTCTCCCTAAAGAGTTTCTTGCCTACCAGCATATGACAGTCAAGTGCACAACAGAGCCTCTCCAAAACCTAGGAAACAATACCTTGCTGTTCAGTTTCATTTATGTACATATAGAAGCACTGGGAAGCACCCCAGTGCTTAGCTATTATTAAAATTTGATGCTTTTTGCCATTTTTTCGTCGTTGGTTGGTATTTTTTGTAGATGTTTTAATTCCCCCCCCCCCTCCCACACTTTCCTCGACGCTCTGCTGTGCCTGAAAATGTGGTTTGGATTGACCCGGTGTCGTGTTACTTGAATGAAAACTGTGTGGAGAAATCCGGGGTGATATGAATCCGGTATCGTATAACTGAGACCTCAAATCCGCTACGCTACTAAACCACTTCTTGCTTGATGGTCCAGTTATTCACAATTGTAACAAAACCCCCCTGAAAGTTAAAACAATTGAAATGTAATATTTGTCTGAAGGAGCTCAGGTGGAACGACGTTTTCCTGGTTTTGCCTGGTTTTGAAATCCCACGACGTTAAAAACGTACTTATAATTTTGATTTTTTTTCGACAACAGGGTCTTGTAAAATGGTTGGAAAACGCATTTGCTTAATCGGTGCAGGCCCGAGTGGAATGTCAGTTCTCTACCAAGCTGAAAAACTGCGAAAAAAAGGCAGAAATTTGCCAGAAATTGTTTGCTACGAGAAACAGTCAAACTGGGGCGGACTTTGGAATTATACATGGAGAACGGGTAAAGCTTTCTCCTTTTTTAAGTTACATCTTTAATGTTTTACGATTTATATTATTCGATGTTTTTAATATTTGCATGTTTCTTTTGTTTCAACCCCTCTGCATAGTCAAGTGTTTTGTTTAGTAATCCAAAATTCCTGCGATTTCGTAAGCCTACCGAGGAGAAAAAGCTCTCGGGAAATAATTGATACTTTGTAATAAATTTTGAGTGATGGCAAAAAAGGAGAAACTGTAAGCAGAGGGAGGAAGCAGAAGTTGAATTGCAGCTTGAGTCGGTAAAGGCATCTGCTTTTTCGAGGGCAAGGATTGGGAAGGTGAATGTCAAATGATGACAAGATCAAAGAGTATTTGTTGAGCGTTACACGAATGTAAATGATGTTGAATACGTTGATGAGGACTCTTCTAAGAAGCATTGAGATTCAGAACGAGGGTCCGGAGCGAAAATGTATAGGATTCGCCCGTTTAAACGGAATGTATCGGAACACTTTTCAAATCACCTTCACAGCGGAGTGCTTTCACTCCGCAAAAGTGGTATCGGACGTATCGGATTGATGCGGGCCGTGTAAACGCAACCCCTATCCGATATGAAAAGTAATCCGATACGTGAGTAATCCGGTATCGTGTAAACTCAGCCTGAAGCAACATGACGGAACCTTGGGAAGATCAGGTGAAAGTTGACAAATCCAGTATAGAGCGGCAAAAGAGTCAAAAATATTTTATCAGGGCAATAGCATCCCGGAGGTCTACCAGGTGCCGCTTTGAGCTATAGGGGGCGCCTCGTTTTCATCTCGTTGTCTTCTATTACATCCTGATTGCTACTCAATGACGTCATGGCGCCATTGCGTTTCTACGTGTTGTTTTCAAAGCCACGCTTTAATTACCTTTACTATATAATTTATATTTATCAGGTCTTGACGAATATGGTGAACCAGTCCACAGTAGCATGTACCGTCATCTATGGTCAAATGGGCCTAAGGAAGCGCTTGAATTGCCCGACTACACATTCGAGGATCACTACGGCAAACCAATCGCGTCCTTTCCATCAAGGGAAGTCCTTTTTGACTACTTAAAAGGTGCGTGTTTATACTTCCGTTATCAATAGCAGGCCTGGCCATAAGACGTTTAGAAGGGGAACAGTAAACAGCTCTTCTAGTAACTTCCAGGTGAGCTATTTGTAGATTAATAAGAATAGAAACAAAGAAAAAATTTATTTCAAGGAAAGCTATTTTCTTTCTAGAGCAGTTTAGGAGGGCAATCTGTAGCTCTCCTCCAGCACTTGAGGAGACTCGTGTATATCTCAAACCCTCTCTTCCTTTTCTCACTGCAGACATTGCTGGTTTATATACTTGTGTCGTTGATGAATTTTGATACATAAAAAGCATATTTTTAGATGGTTTGTTTAAATACCGACCACGTCAACCTCGTGCCTCTAAGTGGAACATCAAAGTTAATAGTATAATAGGAAACACAGTTTAAAATTAAAAAAATCGTTCATTTTCATTGCAGGTCGCTGGAAGAAAGAGGAAAGTCTCCGTAAATGCATATTGTTCAACCATGTTGTCCGCAACGTTGACTACAATGACTCCACAGACAACTTCACAGTCGTTGCAAAGAACTTAAAAGAGGACAAACTTTTGCCTCCGGAAGTCTTTGATTACGTCGTTGTTGCCTCAGGTCATTTCTCCACCCCAAATGTGCCATCTTTTCCAGGGATAGAAACCTTCCCTGGAATTGTGCTGCATGCACACGATTTCAGAGATGCCGAAGCATATAGAAACAAACGATTGCTGATGATTGGGTCGTCATATTCTGCAGAAGACCTTGCCTTGCAATGTGCGAAATATGGTGCTTCGTCCATTGTGTGCACGTGGCGAACAAAGCCAATGGGATTCAAATGGCCTTCTACAATCACAGAAAGACCTCTTCTGACAAAAATTGAAGGTTGAAATACGATTTTTTTAGGAAATGTAATTGCAAGTTGCACTTTAAGTATTTCCACATTTAGTGGTGTGGATACTTTTTCTATAGGATAGACAACTCAATTGAATGCACAAAAACTTACAGCCAGTTAAAATTACTTGATAAAGAAAAGTTAGAATAACTCATACTACCGTATCTAATAGATTGTTTACAGATGATAACAGTTTTTCCTTCAACTTTGGATTTTGGAAAAAGTATTAGTTAAAAAACCTCTTATACCAGATTTCCTTTGATTTAGGTTCTACTTGCCATTTCAAAGATGGCAGCAATTATGAAGCAGATTGCATTATTCAATGCACTGGATACCAAATCAGCTATCCATTTCTGTCGGAAAATCTTCGTCTGCGAGGGGAAAACTTACAGTACCTGGAAGGTCTTTACAAAGGAATTCTTTGGACTGGGGATGGCAAAGGAAAACTATTTTATGTTGGAGCACAAAATGAATACTATACTTTCACTATGTTTGACGTTCAAGCATTGTGGGTAGTTAAGTACATCATTGGAGACATGCCAGCACCAGATTGCAAAGGAATAGAAGAATACTGGGCATGTTGGGTTGAGAGGTAAAGCTGTGTAACAAACTCCTTTTCAGCAGAGATTGCAAATTTTGATTGGCAACACATTGCTTTATTTACAGTAGAATCTCTTCTCTGATCCTAGCTTTGATATTCAACTCAGATATACACTGCTCTTCTGATTGTATTATTTCTTATTAATAGCTATTAAAAATATGACTTATCCGTTCCCAATAAATTTTCAGATGAAGTTAGTTGCTATATTTTTGCCGAGAAGAGGGGGGTTAATCGTTTTAAAGACCCGTTACTGATAACAACATTGGCCTTCTCCATTTGCTTCTCAAATAACCTTTTAAAGGTTGAGTTAGGTTTTTAAAGAGAAAGAGAGAAATTTAAGATTCAGAAGTTTGCACAGTGAATTTTTCTTTCATTTTAATGGTATATTAAGGGGGTTATATCAGAAAAAGAGCAATGGACATATCAGAATCCAGATTTAAACAATCTTTTGGTGGTACAAAACTTGAAAATGGCTTTGAAAAAAGCAAACATTTAGTAAACTAAAGCTTTTCGTCTGACAATCTTCAGAGTATAAAACGTCAGAACATAGATCAAAACTCTACGCTAAGAAATATATATATACCCAGTTGTGGATCGAAATAGGCCAATCAGAAACACGAGCACATGACTGTTGAGGTTGAGCAATCAGTGCCGCTTGCCTATTGAGAATGTTACCAATGGAGTCCTAAGGTGAAAACGAACTCCTTTTGTCTACACAGTAGCTGTTTTTTTTATTACGAGCAGTTTTTAACAAATTACGAGCACGACTAAGTGATTTGGCGTACGATTACAGCGGCTCTCCCATCTACCACTCAGATTTTCTTTTGCATAGAGAGCATTTTCAAGCATTACGGTCTAATAATCACATCTTTATCATCTTTATCATTTATCACAAAATCTCTACGGCTAATAATGACATCTTTATCACTAAGCCTGATAAAGGGTCAGGAGTGGTTATTTTGAACAAAAAGGTCTACATCCAAAAAATAGAGAATATTCTCCTCGACAAAGAAAAGATTGAAAAACTGGGTGCCGTCGAAAGACAGGATAAAACTGCCAAGCTAGAGCGGAAACCTCAAAAACGCCTCTTGGAGCTAGTTAACTCAAAAGTGTTGACCTACGAAGTTTACGATAGGATAAGACCCACAGGTTCACAACGTCCACAAATGTATGGCCTCCCTAAAATACACAAGCCGAATGTTCCACTTAGACCCATCTTGTCTATGATTGGCTCAGCACAACACGAACTGGCTAAGTGGCTTTCTGAAGTTTTGGACCCTGTTCTTCAAAAATATTCAAAACATTGTATCAAGGACTCTTTTACGTTCGCTGAGTTCATGCAAAACTTGAACATCAAAAACGAAACATCTTTCGTGTGTTCTTTTGACATTAGCAGTCTTTTCACTAATGTCCCTTTGAGTGAGACCATCAAAATATGTGCCGACGCTTTGTACCGGAGCGAGCTTAATAGCTCACCATTCCCAGAGGAAGTATTCATTGAACTGATGGAAACTGCAACACGTTCAGTTGAATTCAGCTTTAACAATGAAATGTACCAACAAAAGGATGGTGTCGCTATGGGTAGCCCTCTGGAACCTGCCTTGGCCAATATCTTTGTCGGCTTTCAAGAAGAGCGTTTGTTTGACTGTAGGCAGGGAATTCCATGTAAGTGACTGAATTTTTGCCTAACCTCAAATGTTATTACTGATTTCTACTTAATCGACCCTGTAGATTACAAATCCAAGATGGGTCACTTTCGATTTTGACCGGAAGTGCCTTAAATTGATGACGTCAGAAAACAAGAAATTAATCCATTCTACCTGCAATTTCTCGGTTCCCTTACACCCATTTTCAAGAATATTTGCATATTTTAATTCAGCACTACAAGGGCTATTGATTGATATATATTTTATCAATTTTTACTGACAAAGATATTTTTAGAAAAAACGTCATCATGACATAAAACGATGTTTTGCTTGGACTTCACTTATTTTTTGTTACCAACATTTGTTTTATGATACAGAAATGCATTCCTTTGCAGGGCAACTCTAAGTATATCAAATTGGGGGCAATTTACCCCTTACCCTCTCGTTCTATTAATTACTGAAACAATAGTTTATCTTGTTCTTCAAGAAGAGACTTGTTGTGGGACTGGGGTATTTTGTATGTTTAAGAGACTGTGTTAAGAAATCATATAGAAAAGGAAGTCAAACATTTTTTATAATAAACTGTCTGTGAGGAACTCAGTACCCAATATTCATGACAATTAAGTAAATTTCAGTACTTAGACGTGTCTACTGTACGATATAAATTTCTTGTTTTCTGACGTCATCAATTTAAGGCATTTCCGGTCAAAATCGAAAGTGACCCATCTTGGATTTGTAATCTACACGGTCGATTTAGTAGAAATCAGTAATAACATTTGAGGTTAGGCAAAAATTCAGTCACTTACATGGAATTCCCTGCCTACTGCGACCAAAAGCCAGGTGTTTATTTTCGCTATGTGGATGACACATATACCATTTTCAAAACAGAGGCTGAGTGTGATACTTTCCTAAAACGCCTGAATGGCCTTCACACAGCCCCACAGTATACATTTGAAAAGGAAGAAAATAACTCCTTGCCATTTCTAGATGTTTTGGTTGAAAAATCTGGCACTGGATTTCTCACTAGTGTATAACGTAAACCCACATTTTCGGGGTTATACTTTCGATGGAGTTCGTTTTGCCCAAAACAAAGAAAAATCAGCCTCATCGAAACACTTACACATAGGGCACTGATGATTTGTTCCAAGTCTAAACTCGACTCGGAACTTCAAAATCTAACTAAGATCTTTCTAGAGAACGGCTATCCAGAGGATGTTATTTCAGTTTCAAGGAGAAGATAGGAAATTTCTAGGCTGACGTAAAAGTTGGTCCTCAAAAGTGCCGGGTCGATCTAAAACTATCCTTGATCGGTAAAAGTTCCCTACGTTTTGAAAGTCAAATTAAACAAGCCATTACAAATTGTTCCTTTGCAGTCAACCCACGTGTTGTTTATAGTACGAAAAAGGCCCTTCCGTCAATTCAAAAGGACTGCGTTCCTGTCACACAAAAAAGTTCCGTTGTTTATGAATTTACGTGCCAGTGTGATTCTGGCTACGTAGGACGCACTACCCAAAGATTGGAGGATAGAATAAATCAACATGTTCCGCTTAGTATTAGAAACAAAACTCGTCCCCAAAGAGAACAGCCACCTCGGTCTTGCAAATCTAAAATTACAACTAAAACCTGCGATTCTGCTATCGGGCAGCATTTACTGGAAAACCCAGATTGTGCAAAAAACTATAATGGCGACATGTTTCGGCTTACTGGTAAAGCCCGATCGTCGTTCCATCTAGCAGTTTTGGAATCTATCTACATAAGCACGAAAAAACCGCTACTGTGTAGACAAAAGGAGTTCGTTTTCACCTTAGGACTCCATTGGTAACATTCTCAATAGACAACCGGCACTGATTGGTCAACCTCAACAGTCATGTGCTCGTGTTTCTGATTGGCCTATTTCGATCCACAACTGGGTATATATATATTTCTTAGCGTAGAGTTTTGATCTATGTTCTGACGTTTTAAACTCTAAAGAGTGTCAGACGAAAAGCTTTAGTTTACTAAATGTTTGCTTTTTTCAAAGCCATTTTCATGTTTTGTACCACCAAAAAACTCAAACAATGGTTCTGCATATGCACAAAGCTGGCCCATATAAGGCATTATCTTTTCTATAAAGAGCCAATAGAATATCATGTATTAGAAGGGCTTCAAAACTTTCAAAGAAAACTCACTTTAAGTTTAGATCAAATTCAAGAAAGGTTTAACTGAGGAGAAGGGGGAGCTTTTGCTGGACCATGAAATGCATCACATCACATTTTGGGATTAGTTCAATAATAATTTGAGCCACACCATTGATTTAACGATTATCATCTACCCTGTAACAGTTGGTAAATTTCACACTGATGCCCCCCCCTGAACACTGACACTAGCCCCATAAATTGTTGTTGTAATGACTCAAAATATAATTTTAAATAACATACTTGTCTTTTATTGAAGGAGAAGCAAACTGAAAGACTGCCATGATGAGATAGATTTCCAAACAGAGTTTCTAGATGGCCTTGCAGAAGAGTGTAATTATGGTTATAACCTTGATTGCAGTGAAATTTTTCACCAGTTGGAACATGATAAAGAGGAAGATATTCTCACATACAGAGACAAAAGTTTTGCATCCAACATTACTGGCACACAGTCCCCTTTTCCTCACTGTACATTCATGAATGCTTTTGATGATTCCATTAATGCTTGTCTGGGAACTAGTCATTAATTAATAAAATTTATCAAAAGTAAATTTTCTAGTTTACAGATACAAAGAAAAGGCTAAGAGAGCTTTACAGAGGCTAAGAAAATTTACTAAAGAAAATCTTTTTTTAATGTTCATAAGTTTCCTATGCTTTATAGAGTAGTCACAATATTGATTTGTATCATTATTGAATACAATGGCAGTGCCATTGGAACAAAATTTGTATTGGAGGGGCTGCCTATTGTATTCCTTCTTATTCAGTACACTGTTGTAAAGGAAATATACTACAGTTTGACAATTATTGGGGGGCTCCAGCACCCCGGTTTCTACGGGCCTGAATGGTATTTTTATGGTATTTTAATGGTATATTTTAATGGTATAATGGTATATTTAAAAATATTACAGCTTCAATATCAAATTTCAATAAATTGATGATATTTGAAGCTGAAATTCAAATTTGCCATGTTCTCCATAAAATCAATCACAATTTTCTATAGCTACGTATCAATTTGTGTACTTTTCTGATATCACGTGATGATAATGCAGCAATTTCGAATAGAAATTGCTGGAGATTTGACAAGTTGCACAAAATAATAGGCTGGACACACAGCTAAAAAGATCTTAATCTTCATGAAAAAATGAAATGTACTCATCCATAGAGTTAATCGAGCCAAAAAGCAGGACACACAGCTCAAAAGCAATCGAACCGTAAGCACCTTAATTCAAGTCATATTTCAGACGCTGAAAGCTCATTTATGCTCCTTTTGGTTAAGTCTACAGAGCATGGCAGGTCTCGATAAGATCTAGAAATTTAAATATGTACATGTGACGCAAAAATAGTGTTCAATCTTATGGTTCCGGATTCCACTTTCTGCAGACTGGGCTGCTATTATTCACACCACACACAACAAAATAAAAATCTTCGAAACAACACGTGGTACAAACATGCCCTGTCCCTGGCCATAACAGCATGCTCGCCTTGAACTATATCAAAGAACAGCCAGGACCAGGAGATCACAGTAAAAAACAATATCGAAAAACGGTAATACATTAACGTACCTCTCGGTATTGTGGACTTTCATATGGAATCTTCTGTGACCGTATCAGCGCAGCCATCTTCTGCAGACGTTTGAATAAAGTTTCGCGCTTTTTCTTCCTGTTCCTGAAGCCTCGACTACAAGTTCAGGCATGACGTCACAGCTATTCTGTGATGACGTCGTATGATTATCTTCAAGAGCAGAACAAATTTTGTATAGACTGGAGCAGTGAATTCTGAAAAAGGCTCCAGTACATAATCATTTTCAAACTTTTAAGGAAGTTGAGAATCTTCACAAATCAAATTTGCATATGTTTCAAAATGAGATACGATGAGAGCAGGGAAGTACCCTGCGTTCAAAAAGGGGAAGGCAGTAAGGCACCAAGAATAACAGCAAAGCAACAGCAAATGGATAAAAACTACTGAATTTCGCAAGGCCATTGAAGTGATTCACGATTTTAGGCCTAAGGGAGTATGCAGGAAACGCTCCAAAGAATTTTTTGTGGCCGCATTCTTCATACCCTTTTAGAAACATAGATTCTTTGTCACATGGATCAAGAACATATTGAAATAGAAGTAGGGAGCATTTCACAACTTGGAGGGAACATGGCACATGTAGGCAAGAAAGGGGTACCTCCGTGAGCTACAGATAGGCACTTTACCTGTTTTCGAAAAATTGGGGAGCACGCCCACGGTTTCTACGTTTATGCATGTGGACATCATTTTTGACTGTTTTAAAACTTACAGGTAGGGCTACCATATAAGAAGCTGAAAGTAGTAATTTTCTGCGTTTTAAAAAGATTTCGATAACAACATGGTTTTTACGGGCTCCGGACCTTTTAGCTCCTTCTGGTACCCATGGTACCAAGGTATCGACAACTTGCAATGTGATCCTCAATTGCTTTCCATCCACTAGCAACCATTGAAATGTCACAGAAAAGATGAAAAACGACAGGAATTTTCTCGAATCATCATTCTAAAAAATTATGCCATTTGCACAAAGAATGTAGGACTGCGAGGACGGTATAGTTTCTGAATATCTACAAGCCACGCCAAAACATAACACAACGAAATCTAGCAAAATAAAACAATTAATCATACGTTATATGAATTAATCATTAAGATATAGGCTATTTACATAAAAATTATTGGATGATGAATACATTAATCAACTACTATAAGAAAACCTATCAACTAACGGTTTACGTCAGGACCTAGCGAAGCAACTCCCCACCCATACTGGTACATAAATAGGAAAAAGTGTACATTTGTATCCGTTTTGGCTTGGAGTCTACATCATAGATTGGAAACTGATACATTTGAAAACTCAGATAATCGGAAATAGTTTCAAAATGGTGACATTTGGAGAAGCAACATGGACGCATCTGTAATTAAGATGCTAAAAACTTGACGAAAATGGAGTTTCTTAAAAGCAAAAACGCACCAGTAAGGACAGGACCTAAGCAGTTCTTGCAAACATTTACATTTCATATTTTCATTGTTACTGACTGAACATGAATGTACGGACACCAAGAGTTTCCAAATATGTCAATTTAATACAGTTGAATCTATTGGAGTCGGACCTTCAACGGATACAAGAAAATGATCCGATTTAGTGCGTCTGACATATCCGGGGTACGACTTGCGACTTGAATGTAATAGGAAAATCCAATAAGAACTGAAAGTCGGCCCGACCTAGTAAAAATCCGTATTATCCGGGGTATGACTTGTGGCTTGAATGTAATAAGAAAATCCAATAAGAACTGAAAATCAGCCCGACTTAGTAAAAATCCGTATTATCCGGGGTACGACTTGTGACTTGAATGTGATAGGAAAATCCAATAAGAACTGAAAGTCGGCCCGACCTAGTAAAAATCCGTATTATCCGGGGTACGACTTGTGACTTGAATGTAATAAGAAAATCCAATAAGGAACTGAAAGTCGGCCCGACCTAGTAAAAATCCGTATTATCCGGGGTACGACTTGTGACTTGAATGTAATAAGAAAATCCAATAAGAACTGAAAGTCGGCCCGACCTAGTAAAAATCCGTATTATCCGGGGTATGACTTGTGACTTGAATGTAATAAGAAAATCCAATAAGAACTGAAAGTCGGCCCGACCTAGTAAAAATCCGTATTATCCGGGGTATGACTTGTGACTTGAATGTAATAGAAAATCCAATAGGAACTGAAAATCAGCCCAACTTAGTAAAAATCCGTATTATCCGGGGTATGACTTGTGACTTGAATGTAATAGGAAAATCCAATAGGAACTGAAAATCAGCCCAACTTAGTAAAAATCCGTATTATTTGGGGTACGATCTAACAGGATACATCTATCTTAATCTGTGGACCTCTCGTTTTGCATGTCTCACAGTTTTGACATTTATTACCGGTGCATTTAATTAAACTGCTACTTACTATTTCTACTTTAACATCTAATAAATGTGTATACATGTCTGCTACTAGAAAATAATCTTCCTTAATACACCAACCTCTTAAATAATCTCACAGATATTTAATTTTAGACATGAACACTGGCATTCATATCACAAACATTTTGAGCTATCACAGTCCTTACTCCGAATTTATTCGATCGCACTTTTCATTTCAAAGCAAGTGGCATATTTAAGTAAAAAATAATTTGTTTTAAATATTTTCCCAGTCATGTAAAGCTTTTCTTCCCCTTATGAAAACAAAGGAGTCCTTTGCAGGACATGAAAATATCACTCCGTATTACAGATAACCTACTAACGTATAAGTATTGCATTAATTATTGTATTAGAATCTTAAAATTATGAATTAAACAGAACTCAACGCAGATTCGAATTTCAATGATAAATCTTCTGTAAAAATATACTGAAGCATCGACTTTATAGCGAGACTATCGAAGAGGAAGGTAGAACCAAAATCGCATCATTGAAAAAGAGCAGAAGGAAAACTCGCTGTGGCCCCTTCGTTCTTCCTTCGATGCGATGATAAAAATTGTCGTTTGGTTATCCTCGTTTCAGAGAAGAAGTGTCAGAAGTTGTGGGACAAACGCCAATTGGATAGCAGCAATCTGCTAGTGAAGGCATATTTCGCTATTTTCAATTTGAAAAAATATGCCTTGTGTGAGCTTCCTTGCCGATGGCAAACTTGGTTTGCCTCGAAAACATTTGCATATAGGCTTGCCAAAGGGTTGAATTCTTATGAATGGGATTTCCCTTCTGCCTTTTTACTCAATCTTCTAAAAGCTAAGCTCAAGCTCAGCTATACACTAAATCTTAACAGCTTAACAGCTATACACTAAATCAAAGAAATACTGAATGAAAGGCACGGTTTTCATTTAAAAACATTAAGTCTTTTGTAAGATTCAGCAACAGCTATATATCTGACATAATTTTTACTGCCTTGAACGTCCAGTAATACGAACAATCAAAATTTGTTCGAGTAATCGAAAGCTCGAAACATCAAATTTGACTATAACAAGGATAACAATCAAGGAAAAATTCTCATTCGAATAAAGAAACAAATAGAATCAGCAGGCAGTCAAAGCACCAGATTTGGACTGTATGTAGACTTGATACTCAGATCTGACGAAATACTCAAAGTTAACTTCACATGCCGTCTTACAAGGGTTCAAGAATATTAAAATCGTGAAGAAAATGCTACTTTATTCACAAGCTGTTTCGACGGAGATTGATGATTCTAACGGAACTAACGAATTTGAGCAAATAGGAAGGGTTAGTACACGAATAAGAAGTCAAATGCTGTCTAATTATCAAAAGTTAAATGCACATCTGAAGTGCGTATTATTCGATAAGAAACAGGCCGAAAGGGTATCATAAAGGCAACTTCCATACTGTTTCCTTCCCGTGATTCCTGCAAATGAACGAATTCGGTAGTAGTAAACTTGAAGCAGCTTCTTGAAATCATATAAGAACGTTTAAACCTGCTTCATACAGGAACGAATATTTATTTCACAGCAATAAACACAAAGTTTTGGCAGTATGAAAATCACTTTCCCGTATTGACTAACTGGAAATGGATCTTCATTCGTTTTGCACTGAAAGCTTTGCTTGCTTCGGGGGAATGGATATGAAATCGGTCTGCGAGCTACCTGCCAATATTCCACTGGTCGATTCTGTGCCCGCCTTGCCACACTTCTTTGTTTTGGCAGCACGAGCTCCGCAATGCCTTCTTTTCCTTAGCTTTCTGGGTAGAGAATTACATGTTGTCATCTTCTTCATATCCGTGTCCTCTAGACGTGCCGACGTTACCTTGTAAATGTCTTTGACAAAGACTTCAGTCTCCACGGAGACGAGAAGGTTCGAATCTGTATTCCTGATAATGCTTTCAAGCTCTTCAATTAAGTTTGCTGACCTCTGCAGTCGATTTTTCGCTATGTTTACTATTGACGACAAAGCCATACGGAAATCATGCTCCCTTCCAGATTGCAAGTAAACTTTTATTTTTCTTTGCAGATGCTTCGCGTCGTTATTGCTTCCTGGCAACGGTGCTTCTATGTTGTCCCTATCGATAAGGATTTCTTTAACAGGGTTGTCAAGAACATCTAAAACCCAACAGTTCATTCCGACCCATTCGGATATTCGCTCCAGGCCTTCAAAGTGGCGTCGCAACAGTCTGAATTTGCTCATATCTCCAGTGTGAATGTACTCCCTATAAAAGAAAATTATATTTCAGCTAGGTAGGAACCAAGGGGCGGCAGGGGAGCGCGTCATCCACCATTGAAAAGTAGAAAATGCTTATCACAAAAAATTTCCTTTTTATTCTACGTCTTCACATTTTTTTTCTAATCAGTATAAAAACTTACAATAACAAATTACCTAAAACACTACGTACGAACTACTAAACTACATTACAAGGACAGGACCCAGGAGGAGCAATATATAATGACTGCCCCCTGGGATATGACATGTATCTAAATATAACTAACAATACAATTATAACAATACATCTATATATACTACATTATAATACTAAATATACAGAAAAATACGGTGAATACTGATGTCTCACATTGGACGCCATAGGAAAATATGTTACAATGGTCAAGGTTTATATCCAGTGTTGGTTGAGAATATTGGTATGAAGTAGAGATGAATAGCCATTACACTTTATAAGCCTAGCGTCAAATTTGAAATGATAGATCTTTCTTCTTCACCTTCTTCACCAAAATTCTTAATATGATAGATCAAAAAATTGCTTTGAAAAAAGCAAACTCTTTGAGGCTGTTCTCTTTGAGGGGCAGTTTTTGAATCGGCCCCTTCTCGATCTTGTAGGTCTAGAAACACTGTTAAAACAAATGATTCTGCCATCGGTCAAAATCTTTTAGATAGCCCAGATTATGCAAAACTCTATAATGACGACATGTTTCAGAAAATTGGCAGAGGCCGGTCGTCTTTCCATCTAGCACTTTTGGAATCGATCTACATACAAACGAGAAAGCCGTCATTTTGTAGACAGAAGGAGTTCGTATCTTTCTTGGACTCCAGTGGTAATTTTTCTTCAGGCACGTGGCACGGATTGGACAACCATACCGATCTTGTGCTTGTGTTTTTCTGATTGGCCTATTTCGATCCACAACTGGGTATATATTTTCCATCGTGTTTTTTCGGACCTATATTCTGACATTTTATGCTCTGAGGAGTGTCAGGCCAAAAAGCTTTTATATTTTATAAAATGTTTGCTTTTTTCAAAGCCATTTTCAAGTTCTGTACCGCCGAAAAAATGTGTTGTACACAAAGTGCTGCTGTTTAACACGACACTTTATGTAATTTTTTATAAGGAATGGTCTACATAAGCTTACTGTTTACTATTTATAATGAGCTTAACTGACAAGCATTTTGACTCAGCAATCGAACTCCAATTCCATCGATCTCTCTCTTTGATCTCACCTTTCTCTACCTCGACTCTTATCGAATCTGTACGACCCGCGCGCGGCCGCAACCGTTAGAATCTGCACTAAAGGTAATAAATGGCAACAGGCACATTATAAAGCTGGAGAAATTCAGCAGTATATGTAATAAAATGCGGGCTCTTGAAGTTTTAAAAATTTGAATGGCATATGGCCATACGTTTTTCAGAATTATTCCACGAGAGTAAACCATAGCAAGTGTACTCGTGCCAATAAAGAGAATTAAGTACAATCTAAAGCAGGCATTAAGGCCTAATCTTTTCAAGGAGCAAACATTTTTTAATAAACTAACAGACAAAATGAAAAGTGAAATAATTTTAAGAGTTTTTGTAAAAATTTTAACTTTGATTTTAATATTTATCTTCATCATGCATATAACTATTATTACTTTTAATTCATGCATATTTTAGACATATTTTTTATTAATAACATCACGTTGTTGCTGAACAAAGTTAACCTGTATAAATATTATATATATTATTATTAGTATGACTACGTCATAACAAGAAGCCTCTTAACCCCACTAGGGCCTAAAAACATGCGACACTTACCGGTAAGACTTTTTCGCCTGCACTTTTTCAGTCGGCCTATACTGAACTTGGTGACATAAGCCTTTTTCTGTTTGCCATTTCCAAACCTTTTGCTGACGATTAACAAACTTATGACTGTACTCCAAAAATTCTTTCCAACGCACAAATTGGGTTTCCACTTTCAACGCAAGATCAACATACGTAAGAAGAACACACTGTACAAGGTTTGCTTCAGAAAAATCGTCCATTTTTGACTTAGCATCGTCGTAAAGTCTCCTGGAAAATTTCATGTATTCCCTCACTTGTTTTCGTCCAAAGCGATGTAGTCTACCTGTATTTTCAGAAATAGAAGAATAAAGAAATGATGAACATTGTAAATGTATACAAGCAGCAAATATTTTTGTACTTCTCGAAAGGAGGACAGATTCAAATGAGTTTGCTTTTTGCACGAAATAAAAGAAGCGTTTTCCATGCACAAAGCAATCGAAGCTGCATAAATGTACATTCAACCAACGCTGATTGTATACTAAACGTCGGAAAAGATATAACCACAACCAGAGCTGCGAAAATATTGGAACTTAGAAACTAGATTCCGAGAATTGTTTACGGTTGGTAGAAATTTTGTTCACAAAAACCATATTTGCAGGTGTTAATTACAGTTGAAATTATCATATACTAATACACACACACCTTTATGAAACAAGGTTACCTAAAAGACGGTTTAAGTAAACTCTAAAAGACAAAAATAGACTATATATATATTGGTCATAACAGCATCAGAAAACATGCCCTTGAAACTGCCAATAACTAAAAGGTTACAAAACCCAGCAAGATTCAGAATTCATAAATAGTACTCTGTGTCAAATGTTTGTTGAATTACTAAGTGCAATACTTTCGTCCAGCTGAAAACATTTTTCTCATGTGACAGGTTCTAAGAGGAAAGTTTCTGAAAATCATATGAAAATCATGCCATATTTTGGTAAAATACAAAATATCATGGTTTAACATGTTTGTTGTAATCCACAGATTATCTATCTAAATAATTTGAGCTGATTTAAATATTTAATTTTGCAAAAAAGTGGGTAAGCCATGGCCCCCTGCCCCTCCCCCATGGCACAGGCCCTGATAGATGCCTGTATGTTACAAATAACTAGTATCAATATCATCTTGAACAAGACCTTACCACTGATATAGTGTTCTCCAATCAGCTGTGGCTGGAAGTAGCTTAAATAGGTTGGTGTACTTTTGTTTTTTACCAACACATCCTCCATCATCGCATACTTCTCTCCAAGTCGGAGATTCTTGTAAAGCCGTTTTCTTCTGCTTTGAGCTTCCTCTGGAAAAATTGACTCAACCTTTTTGATTCCACGAAAAAGTTTCTTTAAAACCTGTTCTTGAAAGGCAGCTTCTGAACCCCATTTCAAAATTGCCGATTCATGAGCTTCCGTCCAAGCAATATTGCGCCGCCCGCCTGTCAATTCCCCTTTTGGCAATTCTTCGTCTGAAAATCCTAAATGAAGCAAATGAATAAGATAAAATCATTTTAGTAAATCTTTAATGTTACCAAAGTTAGAATAAAAATTAACCTTCAACAAGGCAAGATTTGGCAGAAACGTATTGAAGTCCGACCAACATATTGTGTTGGTAAGATCGGTGTAATCATATCTATTGGTTGGTAAATCTTCAGTTACTTCGATAATTCTTAGTTTGTCTGTTAAATCCTCTATTGGTAGTTGAAAAAAAACTAAATCTTTCTTCATGAATGCCTTTGTCAGTAAATTTTACTATTGATGACCCCCCTGTTCCTATTTAGGAAGGCCCAGCTACGCCACAATAAGCAGTAATTTAGAAAATTAATTTCAGAAAACATGAACAAATTTGCAAAAATACTGTTGCTTGCAAAATCCTTTTCTAATTAGATGAGACTTTTTAATTATGAGCTAATCCTTTTAAGTAAGTTATTATACTCATTTCAGCTCATTATGATCAAATACGTTTTTGCTGATATTAGAAGCAACATGGTACATTAATTAGAAATTGGATTTTAATTGGAAATAAGATGGAAAACAAAAAAATATCTTGTCGCAAGCAATTTAATCTTCATAATTTTTTATCATTAGATACTATATTTGGAGTAACAAAAGAAAGAATTTAAGAATTATTTGTATTGCAAGAAAATTTTGTTGTTGTTTAAAGCCATAAATGTAGCCGCTACAGAGTGACCTTGAAGCATAATTAAATAGATCAGGTCTCAGCGCTATAATGATCATTTTAAAATCTAATGAATATTTCAAAAGGTCAATTTCATCAACAATGAAACATGATTATCTCACTAAGATGCTCAGAAACCTACCTCACAGCTTGCTAGCTGGATGACAACCTACTAAATGATTATTTATTTATCTGATGATGTTTTCAAATATATGAAATCCAGTTATTGTTGCAATTGAAGTGAAATTGAGCATCTGGCTTCCTTAGTGCAAAGAGTTTGTGAAATAATTAAAAGAACTAGCTAAATCAGTTTTTTCATCATGAATGTCCTATAAATCACAAGCAACATGCTTTCCTTAACATGAAATGGACACAACTTAAGATAATGAAGAAATAACTGATTAAATATCACAAGGTATTAATTGAAATAGTAAATTTCAGGTAGTACAGGACAGATTTTTTGAGGATAATCCATAAACGAAAAAGCCGCCATTGTGTAGACAAAAGGAGTTCGTTTTCTCTCTTGGACTCCATTGGTAATTTTTCTTTAGGCTCGCGGCACTGATTGGTCAACTATACCTGTCTTGTGCTTGCGTTTTTCTGATTGGCCTATTTCAATCCACAACTGGGTATATATTTTTCAAACATGTTTTTCGGAACCTATTCTGACGTTTTATGCTCTGAGGAGTGTCAGACGAAAAAGCTTTAAGTATGTTGTAAAATGTTTGCTTTTTTCAAAGCCATTTTCATAATCCATAAACTTTCATTCACCTCTTTTGGCAATATGTATCTTTTCAATTTGTCACAACTAAAATTATTCTGAGCAAACTTTCTTCCAACCCAGTAATGTCACAGGAAACATTCTACCAAACTAAGAATGTTTGCAAAAAGTATATAAATGCACACAACAAGCAAGCAATACAATAAAATTAAATTTTGGACAACAGTTAAAAGAATAATCAAAATAAATTTACCCCAAATTTTCTTTGCCCTTCCAATAGGCAAAAGAAAAAATTTCATACTGGGTGGATAAGAACAAAGAGTGCTCCATGTAAACATCCAATCAGGAAGCATCCCTGAAAATGTGACATGATTTCTTTCCTCGAATATAATCTGTGATTTGTAAATCAAGCGATAAACTGCATGGTAGCTGTCAAATTGTCCACTGACTAGCAAGCTGATGCGAAAGTCAGCCTAAAAACAAGCAAAAATACAGTTTTAATTGTTCTCTAAGACAGGCTCTTCAAAGCTCAACTTACTATCTTATCATTAATCAAGAAACGTATTTGGTGCCTTACAAGCTTGAACAATGGTTTTAACACAGAGCATCATCAATTGTGCATCCTGTTGTGATGACACAAAATATGAGCACTCAGGTATCTAATTAAAACATGAAATTGGGACGGTTTTTAATTGTAAATTCTATCATTCCTGCTGATATTTCAACATAATTTAGCACTTTACCAGTTATGCAGGCACCAAAATTAAACCAAACAAAATTAGAAACATCTTAAAATGTATAACTGAAGAATAAGTTGGGATGGGGAATGTTAAAGGGAATTTCACCAAGCTTGTCATTTTAACCAAGCTGACGACTCCTGGCCTATGCACTCCTGGCCAATGCAGTTGGAAGACAGAACTATAAAACCTCAGGCCCTATCTGGAAGTTGCCTGAGTACCATAACTAGTTGAACTGGCTGGAAAACTTAATAGTACTTTATTAGTGAAACATTACTATTTTCATTCAATAGCCTTCTGCTTTCTAGAGGTAAAACTACTGACGGGGTTGGGGAAGCTTAGCCCCTATTGTAAATAACAAAAACTCTTTTCTACTTGCTGCTATTGTTTATTGAGAAATTCTTCACAAGGCCTCTTTGTACTTGTTATAATAACACATCCTTGGTTTCTACTAATTTCCATTCACTTCCACTGTTTTTCCATAGCCCTGTATTCTCATACCATTCCTAGCTTAGAGTTTTTGATCTATTTTTGACGTTTTAAACTCTGAAGAGTGTAAGACGAAAAGCTTTAGTTTACTAAAATGTTTGCTCTCTTCAAAGCCATATACCATTTCTCTTACACCACATTACACCACCTTTGTCTAGGTCTACATCAACATTTGTCATCTTGCTATATTTATCCTCCTTTCTTCAACACATCATTTAACTCTTTCCATCCATTTTTGTGTCTAATTAAGTAACAATTAGCGGCTTTTGTTTTGGTTTTATGTGAAGAGTGTAAAATTAAAAAAAGGTGAAGATAGAAATACTACACTACACTACAAAACTTATATTCTCTTTCATTATAAAATCACTCCTTTGCCCACTGATTCAATAAAATTTCTACTTGTACTTCAATTTACTGCAACTAAATTAAGCAATTTTCTAAACTGGTTCATACTAGAGTCTTGCAAAGCATGATTTCTTTGCACAATAACTTATAAGCTTTTGACACATCTGCCACTATTCAGATAATGGACAATTATCTAGACAATTGGTGACATCTGTTCACAAATTTTGCAAAGAAGAGCTTACATTTTACTGGTGAAGAGATCAAAGTTGACACATATAAATAGAGAGCAATATAAATAGGCTTTGAGTGGCAAAGACTTACCAATTAATTTTAAATACAAAAACGTTTACTTGCGTTAAATTTCAGTTCATACGAAGCTAAGTGCATAAATTGTTTATGAGCATGGATCTCCTGTCTATGGGGCGCCCAAGAAGCACATGATCAAGACTGAAACACCAATAAAAGTTGCTCAAATGCAACAAAATAGAAACATTTTCTTAAAACATTTCATATTATTTTAGTTATATACCAAAGCATTTTAACATATGATATGTTTTTGTGCTATAAACTGCATTCTTTTAAAACTTGTCCTAACAGCTTCAGAAATTTGTAGAGAAAATTTACAAAATTTGCAGTTGCCTAGTGGAGTGTGACCAGGAAAGATAAGTAGTCAACAGGGGCGGCGGGCAGTGTTATGACCGTTATTACTGTAATAACACTTTTTCCAAAGTCTTTATCAGTTTGGTGCATTCATCTGCTAGACACAACCAATGACGTAGAAATAATATGGTATCTGTCCTCTATTCATCTGAAGGGGATGATAATTACCTGCTAATCCTTAACCACAGGAAGCCTATTATGTTTTTCAATGGTATTTCAAATGGTTCAAAGGTAGTTCGAGGCTCCCGGCTTATTATTACTTTCGCGTTTCTAATAACGGAAACAGCCAAGTCTTTGTCACGGGACTCACCGATGACGTAAAATTCAATTGTTCTTGGTCCTTGAAATAAAGGAGCCTAGCAGCCCCGTTATTACTTCTGGGATTCTAATAACGCGGCCATTTACCTTTTGCCAGTGCTGTTTTATGATTTTGCTTGTAAGTTAGCTGTTTCAAAATGAATCGTGTTGTGAAAGATCAAGTGAATGACCATCGTCTGGGTGTTCAAAGTGTTATTATTTTGTATCTCTAATTATTTTGAAACAGGTTGAATTAACTCACTAGCAACGTCTCGAACTGAAAGACCGTGCCAGATATATCTCGTCATGTATTTTTCTATAATAAATTTTTAGCCTGCATCCTTTCAAATTCTATTTGTACATTTGTAAACTGTAGCTATTCAAAATGTTGCAAGTTGCTTATGTAAAGGCATTTAAAATGAATGATGAACTGAACTGAACCTTGAATGTATTCAGAGGGCTTTCACGCAGCGGTTTCCGTTATTACAATCGCGATTCTAATAACGGGCCCACATGGTGGCTCAGAGGAAGGGGCCGCCAAATATTTTTCACGACTAATCACCACTCGAAAGCCCTTCAGACAAATGTTACAGCCCTCCAGTTTGTTACAGACCAACAGGAAATCAGGCCCTTCATAGATTTCTTTTTGATATGCTAGCAAGGAAGTATCTGCATTTATTTTCTAGAAGATACAGCACTTAAATTGCCAATTAACTTAAAACTTTCAGCATTCGCTCAGATTCTTAGTTGCTTACAAAAATGTGTATACCCGACCAATTTATGTCGACTTTTTGTTTGTTGTTTAGAGTCAATTGAAGATATGCATATTTCCCCAACGTATGGCTTGGCCAAATTAGGGGGGGGGGGTGTTGCAAAACCCCTATACCCCTCCAGCTGAGGAGGTTCAAAATTCCTTCATAAAGAAATTGTTAATTTTCCTTTTTCGTGCATTTTCCATACGTTTGAAAAAGTAATACCAAAAAAAATTTACTCCCAGCCGCCCCTGGTAGTCAATAGAAAAACTTAGTTTTATTGAGCATTATTTATTCCACTAAGATATTAAAAACTAAGATAGGCAAACATCTTAATAACTAATTATGAAAAGTGATGAACATGCTTATCTCACTTACTTCAGAAAAGCACTTAATCAGGATATTGAAGGAACAAAGTATATCTTATATCATTCACAAAGTGACAACACATGCTGATTGTTGCTTACCTATGGAAGGTTGCCTGATTACATATTTGAAAATGGTTTCACCCACAAATGTCATAAAGCTAAAGATATCATCAACAAATAGAAAAATTAAAAGCCAAAACATATTATGACTTCCGCCTTGAATAATACAACAACTCTTGAATAATGCTGTCTCTTCTTGGATCGAGACAAAAATGGCATTTAACTGCCCCCATTTCCTTTGTAAATAAATAGAAGAAGCACAACTTTTCTCTCGAAAATCACCCGACGTCATCAATTCCATTAAAAATTTCGGTCTTTTAATTACAAATGTGGCCAGTTCCACATAAGGTGCAAAGTACGTTTTATATCTAAAAACTGCATTTGACATAGATTTTATCGTGTTTCTCAGAAGAATGAAAATTGATAGTATCTTCGCAAAAATCAGACTACGTCAAGCTCGACGCAAGAGATATGTATGCTAACCTTTGCTCAAAACTTATCTAATTTGACAAAGAACTATGCAATCGTTACCTTCAAAAGCTCTCTCCACAATACTCCGTTCCCAAGACATTCAGAGTGCAATTTTTGGCAAGTCTCGCTGAGATTCAGAAGTGTCTTTGCGGGCAGCCATTCCAAAATCAGGCCTAAAACTTCGGGACTCAGTGTCTCTAGGTTTCCTCTTCTTTGTGCAATTGACAAGGTGCTCTGCGATTTCTCTTGCTCTGCTCTAGTTTCGATATGCAACATTATTCAAGATACCTCATTCATTTGTACAATGCGTGTGCCAGATTGTTGAAAAAGTTTCTTGCGAGGAAAAAGTTGGACTTGTTTCCACAACATCTCGGCAAGAAATTGTTCAACTTCAAATCGAGGTCAAGTTTTAACGTGACAGACCCACTGATCCTTGAGGCGTCAAGGTGGGCAAGAGGGTTCCATAGAGCCCCCATTGTTCTTTTCATAGCACTACACCCCACCCGTGGTTAAAAAGTAGCCATAAGAGTTCACCTAGACATCTAGCCAAACACAAACCAGGGTTTAACTTATAACGAAGGCAGAATTCAGCCACTTGAAGGTGAAAACGACATTTTACTGCGTACGCACCAGATGGCTTTTACGAGCAATAGGGCCACAGCTGTCCACCTATGACTCTCTCTCTGTCTGTGTCTGAATTTCGAATGGACAGTTTCAGAAAAATTGTTACGATGTTAACTGCAACCAACAGCATAGCCAAGATTTCCAGTTTCGAAGAGTCTGAGACCTTTACCGTGGAAAAGTTTTATTACCGCGCCCTTTTTTATCAAGCTCTTGTCTTGAAGTAAGGCAGAAAATGGTGCAGATCAATGGCGGCGCCAGCCACTAAGCTCTGGGGGGAGGGACAAACCAAAAGAATTTAAGCCACGCCCTTTTAACCACCAGAAAACGCCCTTTTACCAACAGGGAACGCCAATTTTATCCGAAGGGAACGCCTAAGACTAACTTTTGTTTGAAAATTGGCAGTTTTAAAATCATAGGATTACATCACAAAAAGTACGGTGTCAAAATATTACCCCTACCCCAACATTTTCTCATTAAATTTGGACGAAATACAAAATCGGTTCTGCTGAGAACTGGGGGGGGGGACGTGTCCCCCCAGTCCCCCCCGTGGCGCCGCTACTGGTGCAGATACTATAGATGTTGAAAACTAATGGAATCCTTTGAAAGCTATTGATGCCTTGTAGACGAAATGTGTCCCCTTGAATTTTTAAAATCCCAGTGGCGGAAATCAAGGGGATGTGGGGGCTCAGTTCAGGCCTCTCCCATTTAGCAATCTCGTCGGAGAATTCGGGCTTTCATCCGATAGTTGACATAATTAAACTTTTCAAAGCCCATCCAAGACATATCTAGTTTCCAGGGTCACAAAGAGCGGGGAAATGTGTGATCGAATTCCTTATGGCCTCAAGATGTAAGGAACATCATAAAGTAAAAAATAGATTTAAATAATTGAGTTAATCAAACGTAAACAGAAGTAAAATATACCAAACTATTTTGACTGCAAGAACTCATTCTGAAATTTATTTTGGGCGTGTTTGCCAATTTTTTTTGCTCGTTTCGCTTACAGAGGATTCGCATTTTCCAGGGGCCTTTATAACCTCCTTGTGCCCTTTAACATTCCTGATATAATATTAGCCAGTACTAAAAAATAAAACAAAAAATGTATGACAAAAATCAAAACTGCTTGCGAATAGTATATCTAATTTCAATTCTGTAAAGATTAGCCGAAATTTCCATCGGATTCTTTCAAGCAAAAATTATTTTCAAACGTATCCCTGAAGAAACTGAAGAAAAAAAGTAAAATGCAGAAAATGAACGTTACAATTACAATTGTCATGAGCGATTTGTCAATAGTTTGATCGGTCGACCTCTTGTATCTTCAATTGCCTTAGATGAGATATCGATCGTGATATAAAAATCATTAATGGATTGTCCTTCTAGCTACTTAAGTAAAGGGTGTGGTCTGCGAAGATTTCTAAAGGGTCCCGCCTAAAAATCACCTATTTTCATTAAAATATGTAGTGACAAATTTTCTTTAAAATTAGGCATGATATTATCTTGTCGGAGGGGAGGGAGAGGAGGGAGAAAAGGAAGGAGGAGGGAGGATGAGGGGAGAGAAAGGGAGAGGAAGGGAGAGGAAGGGAGAGGAAGAGAGAGGAAGGGAGAGGAAGGGAGAGGAAGGGAGAGGAAGGGAGAGGAAGGGAGAGGAAGGGAGAGGAAGGGAGAGGAAGGGAGAGGAAGGGAGGGGAGGGGGAGAGTAGGGGAGGGGAGAGGGAGAGTACGCATGTCCCAATGACATTTGTCAGTTGAAGGTATATAATTCTCCTGAGGCTATTTTATTCATACTGACAAGACTACTCGACAACGACATTGTGCTAGTTTTAACATAGTAAATGGTTTTACCTTATCTATGGTTTTACTTCACAATGACATGTTTCGATTCATCTGTTAGAGTACCTGAAAGGCAAAGCTTCGAGGAACATGCTTAATAACCTTGGTACCAGACTCACTGGTGCGCCTACTTTTTATCAACTCTAAACTTCCATAAATGAAAATGCTGGACACGCCTGTTTAAACATAAGGAACCAAAAAAAGAACTGTTCAACAAATGTGTACCAGACAGAACAGGCTCAAAACTCTGCTGTGTAAAAAAGGAGCACAACTGTTTGAAGATAAAATCATAAGGTAACTAATTAAAGTAATTGAGTTTTTGACCTAATTCTTTAAAATAATCTAAAATCTAAATATTGGCTTTGTTGCAAGAGAAGGTATAAAATGAGAAGAATTAAAAAAGCTCAAAGATCCAGTGGCCAAAAGCACAAGGGTATTCAATTAAATAACATAACATAACATAACATAACATAACATAACATAACATAACATAACATAACATAACATAACATAACATAACATAACATAACATAACATAACATAACATAACATAACAAACCATAGCAAACCATAACAAACCATATAAGGTAGAACTTGGAGTGCACATTTGTGCAAATTTCACCGCCCAAAATTCTAGTTCCTCTCCTTTTACAAAACCAATTTTACAGGTTAGACAATAAGAAGACATTATTAAAAGACCTTGTTAACTTTAGTAGGAATTTCTTTATGAGCATTTAATTAATTACTACCAAAGGTACGAATTTGTCGTGGTAATTCAATGAAATGCCATAGGCAACCTCAGATGACAAAATCTGTCAAATTGAGGGGTCCAATTCGTGAATATACGGTAGCAGTGGAAGCTCATTCGAGGGGGGGGCTTATTGAAAATTTGTAGTTTTAGGGTGGGGGCTTATTCGAGAGGGGGGGGGCTTTTTCGAGGGGGGGGGACAATTCGAGGATTTACGGTATTTGTGCTTATCATTAATGAAAAAAACCTTTTCAAGAAATATTTGACACCAAGTTTCCAGATTGTTTCAAACATTTATATATAAAACTAAAAACTGTGTCAAATATGAATCATGTAAACACGGTGCAATCCTATAACATTTTGCTTATGTGAGCACCAGTCTGCTGTAGATGTCTTATGACCAGTCCTATATGAACACCATTACTTCTATAACCAAAAAAGGGTTATCCAAGCGTTTGCAATTTATATGAGGTAGCACTTTACACAATTTCCATATCAGTTGCCTCAGATAAAGTAGAATTACAATTTTTGCACATATAAAGAAAAAGATGGACTGATTAAGAGTGAAAACACGCACGCAAGATGAGAAAAGGCCTATGACGAATGTCCTAAGGGAAGGAGCTGATCATGGTTAGGCCTTATCAAACGAAATTGAGAATTTTTTAGTCAGAAATAAGGTCCCCTATCGAAAACTAGCTTATCGAGCAGTTGAAAGCTTTGGCTTAATTATTAAAAAATTCAAGATTTTCGAGACCTCATGCTCCTTGCTCGCTGCCACCACTCCTTATAAGGAAATTTTTGCTTGCAGAAGGCTCAGGAACAAATAACAACTCCAGCATTGAGGACATGTTGAAACTTCAAAACAACCTGCTTTTTTTCGTTAATTAGGTACTGACACCAATCAGCCCATGTGTTGTGAATCAATAGTAAACTACTGAAATATTAATTATTTGTCTGAGCTAAAGATATACTGTTAATTATCATTAACGATTAATTTCAATGCTCAAACCACTGTCGAAAACAGTACCTAGCTGCGCATCCTTTTAGATTTTTTAAGGACCTGCTTCAGTGCTTGCGAAATCTTATAATAAACCTTGTAGAAGTGTATCAAAAATAAGCTAGTATTGAGTAAGCCTTTTTTGTAACAATAACCTAAGTAGTTCAAATGAACACCCTCTTAAATGCGTAGGTTGAAAATCTTAATATAAATACTGTCAGACAGCAGTTCAAAGATCAAAGCTTTAAAAATGATGTAAAAATACTATGATAATTAGGAAATGCTTTTAAAAACTGGCGGTTGGATATTATTTAGAATTTGCGGGGGATCAGATATTATTTAACATTTGAAAGAAGATTAAAAACTTTCCAGAATTGGAGGATTGCCAAGGCTTTATGAAGGCGTTGACTCGGGGGGGGGGGGGGGGGGGGGTTTTTCTTTTCTGAAAAGTGCTATTCGAAGAATCATGCAGAATTATGGGCACAATTCTAAAAAAATATTGCAAAATTTTTAGGAGGGAAATTTAGCATTAACAAAATGAACGTGCAGTTCGAAATGAAAGTATGGAATGTGTGAAATGCTGAGATTTTGAGGGAAAGGACATACAAAATTTGTTTGATAACTTTGTTGTGTCTTGAAAAATGTTCTAACCCTTGCGAAATTATGCCTTTTCCTCATTTAAATGTTACTGAACTTGGAAACAGCAATGATACCGTAAAATCATATTAATGCATTGAACCAATGTAGTACAATGGATGAGAACAAATTTAGAGGCAGCTTTGATATGCTTAGAACATTTGCTAGAGTATTCTATTTTCGTGTCTTTACAATCATACAATTGGGCACAACTTTTGTCACAGACTTTTGCTCTAAACACAAAGATGAGTCCCAAACAAATAGTGCTTTTCTAAAGTCAAATTCAAACAAAAAGAGAAAGATTGCAGGTGAATTTTCTGACATCACCTGCATAGGTAATCATAAACTCCATTGTTGGTTGTATCGGGGCCTAAATAAACTCTAGGACAAATAAACTTTTGACGATAATAGTATGAATTGAGACCATGATTGAGACTCTGAATTTCTCAAACGTGAAATAGTAGTACTTCAGCAATAGGCTAATTTGATTGTCCTCCTATTCATGTAACCAAAGAGTCTGCACTCAAGCTAAGCGTTAGGGGTTTCAAGAATAAAGATCTAAATATCTCTTACATCTTTGTAACAACTCACAAAGGAACCCTCGGCGATTAACAAGTGTTGATTACGTTCTGGCAAGACCTTCTTGCGGCGTTTAGTTTCAATAATTATCGCCTTTTGCAAAACCTAGCTACAAGGGATGTGCCTTTTAAAGTCGAGTTCTGCAACATTTGGATGCCAATATATTGATGCCAATTAAAAAAAGGTCTCTTCACAGAAAGTATCAATAATACAATTTGGAGCCTTGGAAGTCATTCATTTTCCAAAAGTTCGAGGCACCTGGTTTTGGAAGACAGATTTTTCAGAGCCAAAACCTTTTAGTTGACATTGAGATGAAAAACTCTT